CGCTAATTGCTGATGCTTGAGACAATGACGACGACAGCCACGTTAGCACCGGCAACTCCAGAGAGAGCAAAGGTTCAATTGGAGACATAACTCTGAAAATGGACATGCTCTACGTTTCGTGACGTTAACAAATTAACGTTTTGCCAACTCAGACACATTAATGCTTTACGAAAGCAGGTACTACAACAGCTGATGTGTGGATGGTTGTGGGTGTCGCGTTCGTTTGTGGCATTACCAAGCTACATGAACGAATCCGGATGCGGTCCGTGTACGTCAATATCTCATCATCCCCTGAGTATTCGAGAGCTGCCAATAAAGTGAAACGTCATCGATCCAATTGTGATCGCCGAGAAAAAGTGTGTAAATTTGCGCCATGAAAGCTTGAGTTGACACCGAAGATTTATGTATAACGCCGCCATATTAGTGGCTATTCTGCGAAGCTGACTTCACTCTAAACAAGTTCAAGATCTGCGCACATCCCTTGCGAAGCCAGATGGATCTTGATGCTCTGCGTCTGGACATGCTTTTGATAGTCCTTTCCATCATCAACCAGATGATAACAGGCAGTACGCCACCTGGAGTTGGGACCACCATCAAGCCATCGACGTCAAATACCCTCGGATCTAGATCTCCCATCTTCGTGTTTGTGTCAAACCCAAGATCAATGACTAACTCTACTCCTGGCCCGAGCATTTCAGGCTGGATAATGCCGCCTTTGTTGAGCTCTGTCATGATAATAACCCCGTCTCTGTTAACAAGCTTCGCTTCCTCTGGTGTCTTGAACATCTCAATACGGGGATATCGTTTTTTGAGCTCGGCCTTGAAACCGGGAGTGATAATGTTGGTGCCCCCAAGAAGCGCAATAGATAAGTCGAGCATGTCGGCTTTGCGATAAGAAGCGAGCAGACGAAATACGCCATCCACAGCAATGTTGCTAGGCTGTCCTTGAAGACGCTCTTCAATATGTTTCCGTCTACTGATACTGCCCATAACGTCCGTTTCAGAGATCTGAATCGGCAGTGGACGCTGAACCAGAATACCGTGAGTCTGAGAACACTTATTCAGCGTAGAAATCAGATGGAGAACTCCATCTGTAGATGCATTTGGTGCCAGTTCGTACGGAATGAAGTCGATGCCGGCCTAAGACACCTGAATGAGTTTTCGCCATAGTCGGAGATTAGATTCCATCTAGCCATGACATACCTTGGCCGCCACTTCTGCCTTAATGCGGAGATACTCGTCGGCATCTACACCAGTGTTGAAATACACTACCGCGAGAGTTGGCTTGATGCCATCTATACTCTTGCTGTTTCTGATACACCATGACTCCAAAAGCCCAATCACTGGCGCTCCTTTGAGGAATAGAGCTTGGCAGACGTGACTGTATATAACAGATCCGCACTTGTCGCTCACGTAGACCGCTCCAAAATCGCTTGATGTCATGATGAGCATGCCGGGAGACCTGGAAAAGGACCAATATTGACTGAGCAAGTAGCTTTCATACAATAAAGTAAAACGCGGCGAGCTGCTGATTTTTGTACCCCAATGTGAATTCGAAAAGACGGCGAAGGCGATTTCTGAAGTTGCCAGTGCTTGTTTAATTAGTGTCTCATATTCCCCATGACAACATGTAAACACATTGTCATAGGCAAGGATCGACACCAACACCTTTTTTGTGGAACGCGACCAGCCTGATGAGCTGGGGTCTAAGTAGGTTGACTCGACAACCAGAAATGAAGGTGCTCTAGAAGGTCCCGTTGAATAGAATAAACTTGAAGTCTGTCGCCGGGAGAAAATTCAGGGAAAGGCTGCGAATAACCGAGATGATAAACGCAGGCCTCAAGGATTATTCACATTCCAGCCGCAAAGCCCCCACCCCATTTTGTCTCCCACTATTGCAGTGATTTGTACAATGGTAGATAAGCAGACATCGAGCATGATAAGATGAATACAACCTCACAATACCAAGCTATCTTAGTCTTCTAACAGTCACGCCGCCTCAAATGTTGCCATCAATATCATAGGTTTGTCAATTGCCACTCAATTACTTCAACCTTGGCTAGACCTAGATATTATGCTGGACGAAAGCCAATGGTCAAAATACCGGCTCGTTCATCCCAAGGACGACATCATATTTGATGGAGATCTATCTCACCCACTCGTTCGACTTTTCCCAAAGCAAGCTAGCTTTCGACACACTATACGCATGCTCGCCATATCCCGGACTGTACAGTCCTTTTGATTGTTCCCATGCACCGATTATCTGGCAGTCCTCAAGGTATCGCCCGCATTTCCCTTCCAATGCCGCAGCAGTCGCGGCCCAAACCGAGGTGGAGGCACCTTGAGACGGTGTTTTGTAGATTTTGGATAAGTAATCGTCTTGCTTCAGACCATTTTGCTGCTCATCAGACATACGTCTTGTCAGATCCGTGAGGACGGCGCCGGGTTGCACGGTCCAAGCGTGTATCCCTTGTGCGCCATAACGGCGCTCGATCTCATTCGCAGTCCAAAGGTTCGCTGTCTTGCTCTGAGCATACGCAGCCATGGCATCATAGTGCCCATCAAAATTGACGTTGTCGAAACGAACTTCTCCGAAGCAATGAGCAATTGAAGCCAGGATGACAACTCGAGAAGCAAACTCTTGTGTAACCCCTGCAAGCAATGCAGGAAGAAGCAGTTCAAAAAGGAGAAAGTGAGCCAGATGGTTGGTACCGAACTGTGTTTCAAAGCCATCCTGCGTTCGGCCTTCCGGAGGGGTCATGACTCCCGCATTACATATGAGGATGTTGAGCGGCACTTTGAGAGACAAGAAGGCCTCAGCACATTTGTGTACACTGGCAGATGAAGCAAGATCGAGTTCCAAAAGGTGAACACGCGGACTGGAGACAAGAGTGTCACCCGGAGCAGCCTTGGCCTTCGAGATGTCGCGGGCGGTCAGGTAAAGCGAAGCGCCAGTGAGAAAGAGAGCCTTTGATGTGTCGATGCCAATGCCAGCGGAGCACCCTGTGACGAACGCTGTTCGATTGAACAGTTTGTCAATCAGGCCCTCATCGCGAATGATTTGGTCTGCGTCTGGGCGGTTGTCTCCTGGGCCGCGAGGATTGGCGTGAACTGCGACATAGCGATCCGCCATACTCAAGGCATGTAGTGTCCAAAGAAAAAGATAAGGAATGAAGATGTACGGCTAAAAGTTGGCATGTCCGAGGTCAGATTTCCCTATAAATAACTCCTCAGCATGACCATCCGTGGCGAGGCCCGCATCTCCAGTGGGGACGAAAGAGGACCATACCCCAGCACTAAAAAGCAAACAGTATGACCCAACATAAATTTCTAGACTTGATATGTTTTACAAAGATTGATACATGGAAGGTGGAACCATCGACGGACGAATTTGAAACCCCGACCTCTGTTCACAGACTTTGGTGGGTTTTACCCGGCTAGCTGACTTCAAGTGGCAGCAGCATCAGTAAAGTCCGATTCGCCCGTAACGGAAAGCCCAAATAGGAAGATATTCGGCGAATGACCATTCCACACACGGTGATGCGAACGTATAACACACGAGATGGTAAGGCAATATTCAGCTTTTGTTCTGTTGAGTCTCGGCCGAGCCAATGCCGATGGCAAAGCACCGGAATTTGCGGCCCGTTGGGTCTCATCAGTCCGAGTAAGAAGCTTATATCGCTGTTGCCTACCCGCAGTTAGCGATAGTATCTCAATCACACCAAAGAGATTTATGGTAAATCATGCAGTAGTCCTCTTGAAACAAGTTCATGAATGATCCTCCTGAAGTAATAAGTTTCAGCTGCCTTGCAGCTGGTCTGAAAGTCTCGCAACGAACATGACAAAAAGGCTGACCTGGTTTGTCACATTCTATTATCACGGAAAATTAGGCTTCGACTCTCTTTGAGCTTTGAGGAAGACACCCATTGATTGAAGAGATCCAATCAATGATGCTTTAGTGTATATTTGCTGTTCACTTATCTTGCAAGAGAGTATGTCAAAGATCGAGTTAGCGAGCCTATCAACGTCCTTGGGTGTTTCGGAGCTCTCGTTTGCAGCATAAAGTATAGAAAAGTGGGATTAAAATCTGAGGCGATGATCGTTTGTATATGGACAAGATCGGCACTCAGCTCAAGCTGACTCTCAGAAAGCAGCTATCGAGATAGTAAAGCCGTCTATTTCAACTGAGTTGATGCTAACGATGAGCTTATATTCCTCCAGGTCGCGGCATCGCAAGGGAAATGACCCTCAAGCTAGAAGAGTTAACCCAGTCGCATGATATGTTGATGCATGCGAGCTCCAGTTGTGAATGGTGTCTTGGAATAAAACCATGCGATAGTGGACGTGAAGATACACTGGGACTTCAATATTTTGAGACATCAGTAGACTAAGACCTTTGTGGAGGCATCCTCCTAGTCTTTATGAAAATTCCACAAATTAGATATTGCAACTGGACTGAGATATTGGGAAGACTCGTTTGTTGGGGATCCTCGCCTTAACACCTCAAGTCCTGGAAAGTCGAGGAAAGAGATACAGTGATATGAATATATACATAGCATCAACATGTCATATGGAAGAGGACAGTGGCTAAAATATGGTGGGAATAGTCACTGCATTAAGTCCATCTTCAGTTGTTACATGGTAAGTGGCTGATGAACAGAAGACGACTGCGCTTCCTCCACAGATGCCGGCCATGCTGTAAACAAGCTACTAACTGAGTATATAGATGTGACCGGCGAAGAGACTCGGGGTTCCGTTAGAAGATTTGAATCCGCTCAAGCAATGGTCTTTTGAGTTGTTCACATAGGAAGGAACCGTCGGGAGAGAATTCGGCTTCCATCGTCATTTACGCATGCCCTCACTGGGAACCAAACCCATGTATGAAAAGTACGCGGGTTCTAATTATGTTATAAATCAACAGTTTGGTTATTTCAGGCATTATGTCTCTTAAGTTTGCCCATTACACCTAGAAGACACAATTCTAAGTTGGCTGGTGATGCTTACATCCCTTTTCCGTTATGCTGCTGGCTGGTGATAGACCAGGCTGAGGTCTTTTGTATGTAGTAACTGTCGTAAGGCTTAACCCCGGCAGTGAGAGGGTAGTCGCCCGGTTCGGAGGTAATTTCAACCTCTCTCGTGACCCATATTCGGCTGAGGGCCCGTTGTGTAACTGGCCAGACGATAGGTATGGACGCACAAACCGTAGCCAGGTTAACCTCAACTGTTGCTAGCACAGCAGGGACACAGGCGTACCAAGACGGATCCACCCGCGGGTAGGTTCCGGCCTCTGTGTTCTGGATTGACACGAGACGACTGACCCCAATAGCAACAACACTGTTAACGAATAAGGTCAGTAACCTCACAATGATGTCTGAATAGTCTGTTGGGGCGCTTACATATCACCTAGAATGAAAAGTGAGACAACTCCATAGACAGACCTTTTCCGAATGCCGTTTCCCCACGCGAATGGTAGTGGCAACCCACACACTACCATGTCGAGAATCATGTTAGTCGCTACATGGCTGATGTATGTTCTTTTGTAGACACCTAAGTCGTCCGACCCGAATCCCCATCGGCCCGTGGCCGGTTTTGTCAGTTCCCACTGTGCCGAAACGGGATTGCATGGAAACCAAGCGATGACGGAGTATGCAGTGCCCCACATCGCTGTGATGATGAGCATTACCATGCTGATTCGATATGATAGTGAACCATGGTCAAACATTGTGAGATACTGACATAATAGAGCCAGCTTGATGAAGGTTGTCGCCATGCAATACGCAGCGTTGCAAATGTAAAAGGTCTATCGGCAAGTTAGCGCTTCAAATTCTACACCAAGAGAGAGACATCCAGGAAGCTTGCCTTGATGAATGCCTCAGTGCCAGTTAATCCAAGAGTAGCATAGTGCTTGCCCAATCCGTTTGAGAGGGCTTACATAGACACGGTCAGAATGCGTGCTTTCTTCGTGATCAATAAGAAATGCCCCTACCTATACATGTTGATATGGATAACAAGGTGGTGGCAACCTGGAAGGAAGAGAGAGCTTAGCATTTTGACCTTAGAGTCCGTTCGGCTGGGAATTGACAACATACCAAGACCATAATGAGCAATGCATCGTCCCAGCCGGGGCGGCGAACGACGAAAAAACGGATGTACAGCCGCCCAGTGCCACAAACATAGGCGAGGATCTGAGGACATCGTCAGCCTTGTGGTTCATTTCTGAGCAATGCCTGAAAATCGCGCATTGTGTGTTGAATGAACGACAACATATCGAGTAGCGTACCAGAAAAACAATAATAATGGCTAGCGCTGCCGGTCGCTGATTGAGCGCAGGGATTGCTTCATCGAGGTCGACCATTGTCAAGTGCACATGTCATGAAGATGAAAGAGGATTGTGGATCGAAGTTCTTGGTACAATGACCGACGAATCCGCTTGGTCTGAGGAGAACGTGTATCGTATGCGTGCCGAGCCCTATCCCAGCAGACACGTTGCCTGGGTACAGCTAGATAGGAATGTCCAGGGGACACTGTTTCCTTTATGTGGCCCTCAGGAATTGAGATACGGTTCTCTAAATCCCTGTGCATAGCACCAAACTGCCGGGATCTGAAACTCAAATATTTGTTTCGAGAACTTCCCCATGAACGTTAATCTTAAAAGGGTGGGATTGTCTTGCCCATTGGAGTTTGTTTCGTTTCAAGACTTGGGTTTGTTATGCGGCGCTGGACGCACGGAACAGCTCGCGAACTACGCCAGTGCTCGTAGTTGGCCCCAGTGGTGCGTAAAACTCTCTCAGTACCCATTATCTTTGCGCAGGCAATTGCAAGAAAACAACGTTGCACAACGCGGCAATGCCATTCCTGCTGAAATGAATTGGATTGGTCTGTTTGAGTACGCTTCATATGTTCTTCTGATTCTGAGGCAATACGTCTGGCTTGCACACAATCTCCTTCTGGCTGTCACTAATGCTAACCTTTTGAGCAAAGACCAGCAGTTATAAGAGCATCTCTGGGTAGAAGATGATCTGCTGGCTCATCTCCTCTTGAGCTTTGACCAGAGACAACCTTAATTTGACCCGAAATATAATCAACCCGAGCAGTATTTGTGATCTGGATGTTCTCGGAAGACAGCCATTGCCTGATTCGAACAATTGGGCATCCTTTATCACTCCTTCCAGTGGAATCTACGTCTGCTTCATCCCTTTGAAACAAGATCGTTGAGTTAAAATGTCGTGGGTTATTATGTGTAGTTCTTAAGTATTGGGCGGAATGCAATATGTTGATGAAGGAGGAATTCACTTAGAGCGGCTTGTAACCCTTTGATGAGCGTCGTCATGGCCTTCACATGATAATTACGAAAGTATGCAAGTGAAGGCTTCATGTGAGGTCTATTTGCTTGTTTTATGTGACCATGCCGAGGGATACTTACGAAGCGATTCGCACTAAAAACCCTGATAATGGTGTTATTATTCAGCAGGCGTAAAAGTGTAGATTTTTTAGGTTAGATGTGCAAAATGAAACGGGGAAGCTTTTATGTCTCGGCTTCGATGCAGCTCTGGTGGATGCTCAAGGTTAGCAGCAGCCTTGCTCCCCTAATTAGATATTAGAGGTGACCCCTAACCCCCTTTTCATTAGCATACCAGTCTTTGCTGTATTAATAGTCATGGTTTGGTTTTAATTCTCTCCGTCTGTGTCTTTATTATCTTTCATAGTAGGTGAGTGAGGTTTGTTATACTAACTACTATGTGGTAAGGTATGCTGGTAGGACACATTTAGGAAGCCACTAAGACATCTAGCGGCGATATCGACGATCTAATATTATTGAAGAAAAGTCCGGATTTATTCACATTATGGAGTCTGGGATAAGCCACTATTGCGAAAAGCAGTACAGCGCCCTGCTTTAGGAGCGGATTTCTCTTATGAAATCGTCATCGCAGAAAGGATGCGAAGGAGCTGAAGATTGGAACGAAAGACAAAAAGGCGAAGCTAAGAGATAGGTACTCATAAAGACAAAGACACATCCTTCAATTATTAGAACATGAACCATATAAATAATAGTCCGGTTTTCAAATCGACCGAAAGAATAATTGGTTTACATATAACGCATTTATGCCACATAGTGAAGACATCTGTGGAGTTCAATGTTTCATTGCTAAGGGTTATGTTCTTTAGATGAAAGAGGAACTTCTTTGAGGAAGCGCATCCCACCTACAAGAACATGCTAGAGAGAGTTGGCATTTGAAGAGGCGCTGTGTGCTTCGTTTAGTTACCAGCATGCTGGACATACCGGCTTGGTATTTTGAGGAACAACCCTTGAAGCGCAGCTCCGTCAGCATTAAAAATATTGCAACGCCACATTCAGCAGGTCCTTATGTCAATTTATGTGAAGATTGCTGCAAGGGACTTGGGCATTTCCTCATACGCCAAGATGGTTAGAAGGAACTTCAGTAGTTCCTCATTGCCAAGATGGCTAGAGGGAACTTCAGCAGTTCTTCAAGTGCCAAGATGGTTAGAAGGAACTTCGGAACCTCCTCATATGCCAATATGGCCAGAAGGTTCGATGCCTGTTTGGGAAGGTTGCACTTGAACCGGAGGAAACAGGCCACAGCGGCCGGGGCTCTGGGCCTGGCGGTACGCGGCACCAAATCGGGCATATTGGAAAGCTGGGCTACGATGGGATGGCCACGGGGACGCGGGTGCGGTTTGCTGCCTGTGGCCCTGTGCGATCCAATGTCATAGTGCCGGGGAGGTACTCTTCTCGTTGCATGATCTCGCTACGGCTGGTTCAGGTGGCACGATACGAACCACCCCTTTCATAAACCATGCGAACTGTCTGCGAGGAGGAACTTATGCTTAACAGGGAACAACGAGTGCTTGACTAGGGCGTAGGGTTTAGTGACAGGCGATCACCGTCCAGCCTGTAGAGGAGGGATCGTAAGGGCACGTGATGGCCAGGTCTATCTCGGGGTATGAGATTGACAGGAGAAAGCCCAAGATATCAATTGTTGATAGTCAGTTTCCTGTATTGTAAGTGGCAGCCTAGCCTGGGCATCGCCGATCTCCTTCAAGAAGCAATAGTTCTCACGCACACCCGGGATACCGAAGGTAACGTTCCCAGTTCCGACACCGATAAGTAGCATGTCGTAGGCGACCTCAGTCTCGGGCATTGAGCCCTCAATTTCCGAAGCATCCAGGATCTTACCAAAGTCCTGTTGTGATTCGGTCGTCAGCTGTCATGGCAGGAGAAGGCCTGTCGCACGGACATGGACGGTCGTTCGAAAGTCGGCTGACGATGTCGCTTCTCGCATATCGCTCATCATTGACACGATGCCAGGTGATGTGCAAAGTATGCCATCAGAATTCATACAAATGCAGCACAGATCCCATCCCACCCCCTTTTGAATGAATGGTCATCCCTCTGTGTTACACAAAGCCTTGACTCTGTCTCTCTTTTAGTTCTCGAGGCGCAAGATGAGGTTCCTCAATTCTCTTGTCAGCCTCTCCTGGCTTGGCTCACAGGCGCTCCTCTTCGCGGACACTGTAACAGCCCACCCCACTTCCACGGATGTTACTTTCATTGATGATCCGATTGTCAACGAGACCACGGCATGGGCCCAGATGGATGATGATGTTGGATACCACGGTCCGAAGAGGCGCGATGACAAAACGCCCCTGAGGATTATGGCCCTTGGGGCCTCCATTGTCTTTGGTGTTGGCTCGCCCGACCAGAACAGGTTCGTGTCATGAAGCTGAGTATGCCCGAGAGTATCTCTTTGCTAATCAGAGCCTTGTATCCAGCTACCGTAAGGTTCTCCGCCAACAGTTGCGCCATGACGGTCACCCCGTCGACATGGTCGGCACCAAGAACAGCGGTAATATGAAAGATAACGTAAACATCTTATCACGCAGGCCCGTTTAACGATATAATGACTGACCAAGTGTAGGACGTCGAGGCTGTATCTGGCTTCATCGTTTCTGAAATTCACGACCTCTCCAAGGCTTCCTATAAGTTCAAGCCCAATATGGTCATCATCAACGCTGGCACCAACGACATTGTGCGCAGTATTGACAATGCGAACCAGCACATCCGCTTCCGCAACATGATTCAGGGCCTCTGGGACAACATCTCCCCCGGGACTGTTGTCATCGCCACAACCATCCTGCCGATCGGTGGTGAAGCTGATGCTAGACGTCAAGCCGTCAATGAGAAATATCGTGAGGTCGTGCGGGAGCTGTACGCCCAGGGACGACCCATCTTCCTCGCAGAGATGGATGGCCACATCACTCTGTCGGATCTTGATGACGGTGTCCATCCCAACGCGCAGGGGTTCAAGAAGATGGCCGGGCCTATCTACGCCGCCATCGGCCGTGCGAGGTCTCAGGGCCGACTGATGGAACCTCTAGACGCCGGGGACGCTCTCGATCAAGGAGGTGTCGGCTGCCACAAGGTGCCAGGCAACGGCATCAACGCTGGTGCTCTCACACAGGTCGGCAGTGGCTACGATGATGGTGAGTACATCCACGACGCTCAGGACATGGGCGCCGTTACCACCATCACTAGCGACTGGGATCGCGACCAGTGGTTCTTTGCCCGCATCTTCCGCTCGGACCGTGATGATCTGCTCGGTTGGATCAAGAACGGAGACAAGGTTCTATATGCTGTGCGCAGAAACGACGGCGACGGCAAATTCACCCTGATTGGCGACCTCGACGTACACGACAACTGCATTCAGAGAGGAGTCCAGTGGGCTGACCTCAACGGCGACGGGCTCGATGACTTTGTCTGCATCGGCTCCGACGGTGCTGTGTTTGCCAGCATCAACAACGGCAACGGTGGTGGCGGCACACTGCCCACGTTTACACACATTGGTACCTGGAAGGCCAGGGACCCTGCCTACGCGCAAGCCGACATCCGCATCGCCGACATTGACGGCGACGGACGCGCCGACTTCATCGGTCTCAGAGGTAACGGCGACGCTTGGGTATGGCGTAACGGTGGCACCGGCAACAAGCCATCCTACTTCCAGGCCATGGGTAGGCGTTTCGAGGGTAAAGGCATGGGCAACCTCGCCGGCACACGCTTTGAAGATCTCAACGGTGACGGTCGCGCCGACTGGCTCTGGGTTTCCGACAACGGACAGACGACGACGTATACCAACTCGCGAAGCTGCCACTGGGGCAAGGAAGGTGATGGTCTCTACTCCGCCTGGCGAATCGGCACCAACAAGGCTTCGGGCAAATCTCCAACGCACACGGGCGGCATGGCCAACGGTATCCGGAATAGGATTCACTTTGCCAGTGTCTACGGCAGCCCGCAGGACTTTGGTCTCCTATCGCGCAAAGACTACGTCTGGATGGAGC